TGTCTACATGTTGGGATGATATTAAGTTGGTTGTACTATGATGCTTACCTTGTGTGCATATTGGATTTACTTGGTAAAAAGCATGTTTTGGCTAAATGTCCTTTTATGCATGTTTCAATGATTTTTATGCACAGTAGCCATACTTAGTACGTGTGTTGTACTAACCCATATTTTTCTCCTTTTTTACCCCAAACATTTAGGTTCGGGCCGTTGAAGATTCAAGCTTACTTCTCAAGACACTTGGAGTTGCTTCCCCAAGTTGGTGAGTCCTCAAGTCCGAGGACAAGACCCTATGATCTAGCTTCTATGTTTAGTTCTTTGCTTATGTTGAAAGACATTGTTGTACTTTCCTATTTCAAGACTTTCTTATTGATGTAAGGGCTAAGTCCAATTTTCGATAATTCTATGTCTAAATGGTACATTAGTGACGAAGTTAGATTCTATTTTTCATATATGAAGTGAAGTTGAACTTCCAAAGTAAAAGTTTTAAATTTTCCGTGATTTTATTCTATGATACATGCTATGATGAATACTAAGGGCTTGTATAAGACCCCTTCGAGGTCGAATACGCATGTAACGACTAGGGGGTGCTCTCGGGTCGTTACAGTAATAGTACAAATCAACATAGAATTTTTCTTTTTTTTTATATCTATCAATTTTGAGTTAAGAAAACTTATTCCAAGTGGAGTGGCTTTTACCTTTGTTGATTGTCATTTCTTGTTGTAGGTTACGTGAATGGAATATGTGTAATTTGCATTATCCGAGAGCTTTTGACCTTTCAATGTCTAATTACTTTTATTTCATCCTGAGGAAACTTGTCAGTCACTTGAGAGGTATCCTTTCTCATGTCTTGTTTGTTATTTAACTAGAAAGGATACCTCTCAATTGGCTAACAAGCTTCCATGGGAAGACATAAAAAAAGCAAGAAGACATTGAAAGGTCAACAAGATCTCGAATAATGAAAATTACACAAAAATTGTTCACGTAACCTGCAACAAGAAATGACATTCAACTAAGGTAAAACCCATTCCATGGTTGGAAGGAGATTTCTTAACTCAAAATGGATAAAAACAAATGGAGATTCTAAGTTGATCCTTACTATCACACAACGTCGCATTATGGTTCAGTGCAAGGAGTTGAAGCAGCACCACCGTGTGCATGAAAGATTGTATATAACTGCATTCAGAAAGCATGTGTTACCTAAGGTAGACATGTCAACGCCCTAAAAATAGCCAATAACATAAGCACCAAAGAGATGTATTTTCTAATGCATTTAACATTCAGAAAGAATGTTTTTGCTTAGTTAGACATGCCAACACCCTAAAGACAGTCCTACACTAGGATTATTTATCAGCCATTCGTTAAGCATTAGGAATGAAGCAAACCATCTCAGAAAAAGCACATATATGCAGGAGTGTCAAATTCTTTTTTGTGGAGAATTTTGACACTGCAATCATGAGAGGTGTGTAGCATATTCATTGTTTATATCTCAAATATTGTTTGTGAAAAATAAAGAAGATTTTTGTGACACCTTAAACTTTGGTAAGTTTTTTAAGTTTTGGGTCAACTTCAGACGACCATAACTTTCAACTCAGGTTGAGTTAGGTGGCTCATGAGGTATCAATATTTGAGTCCTCTTTCAAAAGCCGCAAAGTTTGCTAAATTCTGTGATCAGATGAGGGAGATATGCATCTTTGAGTGCATCCTCTCTAGTTAAGACATTTTTCATCCATTATAAGGAGGGATATTTTGGTCATTTCCTTACCCACTATCCTAGCACGTTTTTTTCCACCCAAATAGGGGTCTAAACTGATTGAGATCACTTTTCATTCATTCCAAAAGAGCGTAGGATTTTTAGAGAAGTTCAACAGGAGAAAAACAAGAAAGTTTCAAGCGTTCATCGAGTTTTGAGGATTTTCGCCAAGAACTTAATTCTTTCGATGTATGTAAGGTTTTATAGTGTTGGGTTTGTTTACCCTCACGCCAATCATCTAAATTCATCCATAGATTCGTAATTAAAAATGGTTGATTTGAATTCTTGAGGAGTTCTTGAGGTTTTGCTTCGTTCTTTAACAATGGAGTCTTCTTGAGTTCTTGAGGTGAGGGTATTGCAAACGAGTATTGTTCTTGATGAAATTTGAGTGGATTTTCAATTCATCTTTTTGGGTTTAGGAATCCATACGAATTTAAGAGGAAAACATTTGATTCTAGATGAGTTAAGCCTTTAATTGAAGTAAGAAAATTCATAAAATTTCTGGGCAGGGGAATAAGGCAGCGCGCCACCACTGCACCTGAATTACTGCCCAGTAGTTTTGGGCTTGGTGCGCCGCATTACTCAGTGCACCCCAAACACTGGTTAGTAGTTTTTGCGCTGGCACCCCACGCCACCCAGTGCTCCAGGGTCACCAAGTCCCCTACCCTTCTGTCACGCCTCAAATCCCATTAAGACGGACAGGCACCCGATGCCCTAAAGGCCCGAGAGAACCAACATGTAACCTGTGCCTACTATGCATGTAACTATGACAATCTTGTGACAAGTTCATATAGGATGCAGTGATACGAACCAACATAAGTAGACCCAAAACTTATATACAAGACTTGTTCGTTAAGGCCACAACTTGTTAAGACGCAACTGAAGCATATACATAAGTCTACAAAGCCTCTAAAAGATAGAAAACCTTAGAGTAGGTCGGGACAGACCCCGCCTTACCCTTAACAACGATACAATACCAAAATGAATCTACCAAGGACTCAGTAAAAGCTTTGAATCAACCTGGAGCTCACCAAAAGTAGCTGAGTGTCGTGTGCTCCTACCGAGAAGGTCTACTAGTAGAAGTACATGTGCCTGGAGCATGAAATGCAGCGTCCCCCACGAGGGATGTCAGTAGGAGAAAAATGTACTGAATATGCAAGGCAATAACATATATAAATAAGAGTTCGAATG